AAAAGATATAACAGTGTTTAAAAGGCAAAGTAAACAGACTCTAACACACTACTACTTGGCTCACAGCCTGCCTTTTAATCTTGCTCTCCCCCAGACCAGCCTGTCCCCTCAGTGAGACCAGGCCGCAGAGAGACGACAGCACTGAGGGATCTTTCTCTCCCCCAGACCAGCCTGTCCCCACAGTGACCAGGCCGCAGAGAGAGACGAAAGAACACAGTCCCCTTCAGTTTAGCTCTGTGTGAGGAAAGAACACCATTTCCCACAGTTAACACCTTAAGACAGACTCTCCTCACAGAATCTTTGAACTCTGATTGGCTATAACCGGGGCTTTTTTTGTAGAAAAAGCCCAGCAGGAACTCATTAGCATAATAGGCCACACCCAACAGCAGAAACTCATTAGCATATTAGGCCACACCTCATGCCTTCCTTTGGTTTGCTCGGGCTCCCCGCAGCCACGGGGGGCGCCCAGGCAAGCCCCCCCTTGAAGGGAAGGGAAGGCAGTTTAAACTGCCTTCCCTTGGCTTGCCTGAGTGCCTCGCTGTGGGGCGCCTGGGCAAGCCAGCCCTTGGACAGGCTGAGAAAGGCATGGGAGGCATTTAAGAGAAGAGAAGAAGAGAAGAGATTGGATTTATACCCCGCCCTTCACTTGGAGTCTCAGAGCGGCTTACAAACTCCTTTCCCTTCCCCTCCCCACAACAGACACCCTGTGAGGTGGGTGGGGCTGAGAGAACTCTGACACAAACTGCTCTTTTTCAAGGACAGCTGTGCCAGAGCTTGTGACTGACCCAAGGTCACATCAGCAGGTGCAAGTGGAGGAGTGGGGAATCAAACCCGGTTCTCCCAGATTAGAGTCCGCACACTTAACCACTACACCAAAATGCCTCCCCTATCTTTCCAGGGGCCCCCCTGGCCCACCCGCCTCAGAGTCACTGGTGGGGGGTCGCTCTCCAGGCCTTCCCTCTGTAGCCACACACACAGAGGTTTTGGCTGTAGTGGGCGTGGCCAACTCTGAAGCCAGCTGGAATGCCGTTCCTGTGCGTTTCTGCCCCCCAAAAGCCCTGGCTATGACCCTCTCTAACACCCTATCTGCCCCCCTCCCCTTGCCTTCCCCACTACTGGGCATGTGCACTGTGGAGGGGGGGGGGAAGTTTCACGCTGGGAAGCTCCGACTTCTGGCCACTGGCCCATCTCCCGGCTGATCGGCCCGCCCTGCCCTGCCCTTGCTCCAGTGGCCTTCCATTCTCTCTATGCCCCAGCACCTCAGCTTTCCCTGCCCGCCCTGGGTTTCTCTTGCTGCTCTTCTTTTTCCTCGAGAGTAAGAGGAGTGAAAAGGGAAGCCCAGCGTAGCCTCTACATGCCTACGTCACTTCCGGAAGTGACATAGAAGGTGACATAACTACATAGAGGCTGCCCCCCCCCATTAAAAATGTCCTAGCTACACACTTAGCCCTCTTTACCTCTAGCACCAATCCCCAGTTCAACTCCCCTGTTAGAAGTACTATTCAAATTAAGAAAAAAGAGAAGAGATTGGATTTATACCCCACCCTTCACTACCTGAAGGAGTCTCACAATCTCCTTTCTCTTCCCCTCCCCACAAGAGACCCCCTGTGAGGTAGGTGGGGCTGAGAGAGCTCTTTTGAGAACTGCTCGTGAGAGAACTGCTCTGAAAGAACTTGTAACTGACCCAAGGTCACACCAGCAGCTGCATGCGGAGAAGTGGGAAATCAAACCTGGTTCTCCCAGATTAGAGTCCATGCTCCTAACCACTACACCACACTGGTACTCATCGCAAGCCCTGCAGGGATCCTGAGTGCCTCTTACGGACTCAGCCCGCCTGGTCTGTTGTTGGCTTTTTGATTTAAGGGATTGCAGATTGGACGGGATGCAGATGTTGAATTAGATGGGGAAAAACTGATTCAGAAATTTGAGAGATGCTATCACTCAGAGTAGCTAGATAAATCAATGGTTTGACTTTTACAGGGCAGGTATTCCCATCTTCCTCTCATATTTTATCATGCTTATTTTGTCCAGTGTCCTCAGCTACTTCCTTCTGTTTTGTCCCCAGCTATTCCCCCATGTTAGGGAAAGCCAAGGGGCAGAAAGGGTATAATCTGTCCCAAATCAGCCAGCAGGACAGTGTGCTGAGAACAGTGCGTGGGTTTTACAGAGGTCTCCTGCTCTTTCCTATCCCAGGGCATTATCTACAACTCAAGCAGTATTTGACAAAAGGGGGAAAGGGAATCCCCCTCCTCCCCACGGGGGGGGGGGATGCCTGGAGACTGGAGCCTGATTTCCTTATAGATAGTGGGATGCTGCATTCCCATGGGGGGGTAGATGTAATGGTTAGGTGGGATGAATGTGACATGTGTGTCTGTGTGCTCTGCTATTGGGGAGGGGTCCTTTCAAATTGCCTATATTAACTGGAGACTTGCCAAAATCATTCGTTCTAACACAAGGATGCTTTAACCTGAAACTAGCATACTTTTCTCAATAAACAAATCTTTTGATAAAGGGAGAGTTGTTGAGAGTAACTCAGCCAGGAGTCTGACATGGGTTATATGGTGACTTCTATCAAAACAACTATCATGCAAAATGCTGGCCTGGATGAATCACAAGTGGGAATTAAGATTGCTGGGGAAAAGATCAACAACCTCAGATATGCAGACGATACCACTCTAATGGCAGAAAGTGAAGAGGACCTAAAGAGCCTCCTGCTCAGGGTAAAAGAGGAGAGCGCAAAAGTGGGCTTGAAGCCCAACATCAAAAAAACTAAGATCATGGCATCCGGCCCCATCACTCCTTGGCAAATAGAAGGGGAAGTCGGCGAAGTAGTGACAGACTTCACGTTCCTGGGATCCCAGATCACCGCAGACTGTGACAGTAGCCATGAAATTAAAAGATGCCTGCTCCTTGGGAGGAAAGCGATGGTGAACCTAAACAGCATGATAAAAAGTAGAGACATCACCCTGCCAACAAAAGTCCGCATGGTCAAAGCAATGGTATTCCCAGTAGTCATGTATGGCTGCGAGAGTTGGACTATAAGGAAGGCCGAGCGCCGAAGAATAGATTCTTTTGAACTATGGTGCTGGAGAAGACTCTTGAGAGTCCCTTGGACTGCAAGAAGATCAAACCAGTCAATCCTAAAAGAAATCAACCCTGACTGTTCCCTGGAAGGCCAGATAATGAAACTGAAGCTCAAATACTTTGGCCACCAAATGAGAAGGGAGCACTCCCTGGAGAAGACCCTGATGCTTGGAAAGACTGAAGGTCAAAGAAGATGGGGACGGCAAAGGATGAGATGGTTAGACAGTGTCAAAGATGCAACAAACATGAAATTGAGCCAACTTCAGAGGACGGCGGAAGACCGGAAGGCCTGGCGGGAGCTGGTCCATGGGGTCGCGAAGAGTCGGACTCGACTGTGTGACTGAACAACAACAAAATCAAAACAACTTATGCAGCACCCTTTCACTCTTCATCTCCATTACAAATGTGAAAGCCCAGGAAAAATTGGAAAAGATCTTTTTCCTTTTTTTCTGAGGATATTTTTTTCAGTTCTTCTGGTGCAAAAATTGGGAAATTTGAACACTGGAAAAAATTCCTGTGAAATATTTCCTTGGCAAGAATTAGTAAAATGCTTCTTAAATCTGATTTGAGAGCCAGCATGGTGTAGTGTTGAAGAGCGACGGTCTGTAATCTAGATAACGGGGGTTGATTCCCCACTCCCCTTCCACATGAGGCCTGCTGGGTGACCTTGGGCCAGTCACAGTTCTCTCAGAACTCTCTCAGCCCCACCTACCTCACAAGGTGCCTGTTGCGGGGAGGGGAAGGGAAGGCGACCGTAAGCCGCTTTGAGACCTCAACTCTTCTTCTTAATATTTAGCTATGGTATCTGACCCATTGCGGCTGTGTGAGAAATAATACATTTTCTTCTGTTTATTTCAGAATTGGTTTTATACCTTCAAATTTCAATTTTCCTTATCTTTCAGATGGCAGAAGTTACAATGCATGGGCTATAGTGGTATAGAGTGCATCAGTTTGCTATTATTTCTTAAGTACTGAATGTACTTGCAATTTTCCATATAGAAAACAAAGACATTTATATGTTTAAATGGCACAAATATGCCAAATTGTACACATTTATTTGCTAAGTAATAGATTATGCAGTTTATATTGTTAAATCACCACATTTGTTTGGGTGTGATAGGAAAATAAGCCTTGCATATGTTTCCCCTCCAAAAAACCTTTCAGCTTTTGTTTTCTTGGTTTCTTGGTTTCTTTTGCTTTGTTTTTTGGAAGAAACTCCCCACCCACCCCCCACCCCCGGGTAGTACACACATCCCTCTATCCCTTGTGTGTGTGTGTAGGCTTAGCTTGGCTGCCAAGAGGAGCTAATATATATTTGCTGGCTAACAATTGTTTGAAAGTTGGGTGAGGTCGATAGCTTGGTGTCCTTCTTTTGAAGAGATGCCTTCCCCCAGTACCCGAGATACTGTAACTGGAGTTTCTAGGGATTGAATCTGGTATGCAAAACATGTGCTCTGCCACTAAGCCACAAGCCCTTTCCAAGGAAAGTTCAAACTGTGAGCCACAATCCATACTGCTAGTGGTAGCATAAAAATGTGGTACAATAAGTTTCTGTCCTTTTGGTCCAGGGCGTGTCTCCAAGGGGGTTGTTTTCCATCTATACAGCATCCTTCCATTAGCACAGAGAGGCATACTTGCAATGGCTGCATTCAGGAGTAATGACTGGCATCCCTAGCGAGCTCCCGTTCTCTTGCTTGCTGCCTTGCTAGTTGACTGTGGGACAGCAGGTTTGCCTTTACTTCCCCATGCTTGAGCTGAGTAGACATTACCAAAGAACTCCATTTCATTGGTTTTTGGAAACAACCGTGCAATATTCTCTGTGGGACTCTGGAGCACATTTTCAGGTACCTGCCAGCTTTAGTATCAAGTGAAGACCTTTTCAAAGTGTCTATTTAAATTTACCTGTGTGTTGACAGATAGAATGTCTGAAGGAAAACCTCATGCAGCAAACCCAGGAAATGAAGAGGCTTCACTCTGAGTTGGTGAGTTGCACTTTTCCCTTTCCCTTCACAGGCAACCCCATTGTAACACCCCAAGAGCTGTGGTAAGTCAGCATATGGGTACCTGGCATCATCTGGTCATGGCCAAAGAGTGGGGAAAGTGACAGACACCCCTTGGCAGGGCTCACACCACATAGTGAGCACACCAGAGCTCCCAGCAACCCCTGTGACACCTGCCAGTCAAGGAGAGGTGTCCTGGTGATGCCCCAGGAATTGCACACATGGGTGCACCAGCCAGCACCGTGGTGGATGTAGCCACTGCCCCTTGTCATTTGGCTGGAATCACCCATGCCATGGATTCACCCAAGGAGAGAAAAATGGCAGCACAGCTTCCCCTATTGGTCTGTAGGCAGAGGCTTAAGTCCCCACCTGCAGCCAGGTTCCCTTTTGTCGGCGGCACACCTAGTTGCTGTCCACTGCAGCAACACTAGGGGCAGCCACAGTAGAACACCCTCCCCTTTCTGATTCCAGCTGGAGTGGGATGTCTGCCAGTCAGATACTGGAGCAGCACAGCAACAGAAGACATACCTGCAGTGCCCCTAAAGGTCATTCCCAGTAGCCACCTAGCAACTGAGAGACATCGGTTTGATTCCCAGGAGGGGTGATGCTGGGAAAGCTCACTTCCCCCCAGCTACAGGCCAAATGGCAGCGGCAGCAGAAGAGGAGGAGGAGGAGACTGGATTTATATTCCGCCCTTTACTATCCGAAGGAGTCTCAGAGTGGCTTACAATCTCCTTTTCCTTCCTTTCCCCACAACAAGACACCCTGTGATGTAGGTGGGGCTGAAAGAGCTCTCTCGAGAACTGCTCTTGAGAGAACAGCTCAGAGAGAACTTGTGACTGACCCAAGGTCACACCAAGTAGAGTTGTCCCAGTTGCTGTGTGCTGGTTGTGTTGTAGGTTGGCATTGCACTGCACATGGAGTCTGTCCTGGCTTCAGCTCCTGTCGGCTGCCTGCATTCAAAGAATGAAAAGAAAAATAAAGAGTAGTGAGTAACATTCAGCGCTAGCAGCAGACAACAAGTGGGCCTCAACTCTGCTCATGGTTCTCTTGCAGTTCTCCTCCCCCCCCCCTTTGGAGTTCCAGCAAGGTGAGATGCTCCTGCTCCTGGGACACAGACTGTACCCTTTAAGACAGCGTTGGGGAAGCTGGATTGGAACTGTGTCTGCCCTGTCTGCTGGGGCAGCTCCATGGGGCTCAGATCCTGCAAGGCAAGAGGCATCATGGTTGTTGTTTTTTTGAAAATATAAGAAAGGCCCCGCTGGACCAGGCCAGGGTTAGGGTCCACCTAGTCCAGCCTCCTGCCTCACACAGAGGCCGACCAGAGTGACCCTGGAGGGCCACAGTCTGATGTCGCCGCCCATCACTGGTTCTCAGAGGATTACAGCCTCTGGATGGGGAGATCCGCTTTAGTAGCCACCGATGGATCTATCCTTTGTGAATTTGTCTAATCCCGTTTTAAAGCCATCTATGTTTGCAACCATCACTATATCCTCTGATGGCGAATTAATCAGTAGTATAGTAAAGAAGTACTTCCTTTGGTTTATCCTAAATCTATTGCCTGCTTCATTGGGTGCTTCCTGAGTTCTGGTATTTTGGAAGACCCAGGAAAAGTTGTCCCTGCTCTCTCTCTGCTCGATGTATAATTTTATAAATCTCTATCGTGTCCCATCAGTCAATTCCAGTCTATTTGCCCTATTGAAAGGTGCTTCCTTAATCATTTTAGCTGGCCTCTTTTGTACTTCTTCCAGCTCTGCAATGTCCTTTTTGAGATATGACAAACAAAATTGCACACAGTATTCCAAATGAGATCACATCATAGATCTATACAGGGGCAGTTTTACTTTCAGTCCCTTTCCTAATGATCCCCAGCATGGAGTCTGCCTTTTCCACTGCTTTT